TTATATTCACTAAGTGGCAACAGTAATATATATTTAATTATTATACATATATACATGTGTATATAACATTTTTTCTGAAAACAATGAGTGTTGTGGTACCCCCACATGTACACCTAAATCCGCCCCTGAGCACACATTTCAATATTTAGTCATTAATTAAACATATTCATATGGAGTAATTTTTTTTAAATTCTTCATTTTTGAAGAAAAACACACACACAAAAAAAAAAGAACTTGAGAAAATACAAAACAAGAATTTGCTAAATTAAGTACCACGCCCATGCACGATACAAACACATTTAGTCTTCCACAATCTCACTTTATTTTATAAAGTTAGTCTCTTCTAATATAAAAAATAAAACGGAGAGTATTCTTGAATTTAGATTAGGTCAATGATATAAATGAAGAATGTAAATATCTCTGTATATTATGAAATAATGGTATCAATAAGGAGTCAAAATTTGTGGAACATGAGATTTTTCTTATTAAAATTGATTGAGTTTTTTAATTAAATTTTTAGATGTCTTATAAACATGTTTTAAAATAACTACATTATATTTTCAGAGCGATTCTTCTTCACATCAATATTTATTTTATAAGGTGCATAATAGATGATATTTTTATTAATTGTTGGTTCTATATTTAACTTCTCGATTTACTGTATATATAAATCAAAGATAATTATGATTTGGAATTGATTAGAGTTTAATTGGGTTCAACTTCTTCTTCTTTTTTTTGATTAATTTAATCAATTTTTCCTAATCTATTTGATAGTCTAATTTCTCAGATAAGATGATATTAAATTATTTTAAGTTTTTAACCTTAATAAATAGATTATTATATAACGGTATGTATATATTGGTTATGAAAACTTATAATGGATATTTTAGTAATTTGCTTAAAAATTAATCTTGATATTACTTTACATTTATGTGGATTTGGAGCCTAAATGGTATAAAATATTAACAAAAATTTAAAACGGTATATAAAATTTTATATTAACCAAAAAGGTAAAATCGCTGGAACAACAACAATTTACTCCACCGGAAAAAGCAAAATCATTGCTACTGCAACGATTTTGCAAAATGTGATCAAGTCTATCAATCGTACTCGCTCTCCGGTCTCAACTGCCTTCTCATGACCATTCTTTAGAAAAAAAAATCAATGAAAACTTCCTTGCAAATAAAATACATTTTAGTACTAAAAGTTAATAGTTTGACTAGATACATGGTTTAAGGAAAAATAGAGAAGATTTTCAAATTTTGTGACCCTAGTCAAAGTTATATTAAATGTATCAAAATATCATGTGATCTATGACTTAAACATATCATGTGAAAAGTTGAAATTAAAGTTTTACCACAAAAAAAATCATTATTTTTAAAACAAACTAAAAAAGAAAGTATAGTAAAGGCTCATTATATTAATGCTTAGTGGTTTAATAATCTTTCAAAGATAATATTTTCCTTCTGTCCCACTTGGGTAAATGAAAAAAAATCACCAATTTCGATAAGATAATATATTTTTCAGAAAATTCTTACATAAAAATATATGATTTTAATAATATAAATTAATAATTCTTTAATTAGTTTTTGTTAAAATTTAAATCTAGTTAAAGCTCATCTAAATTTTTTTATATTGCATCCAAAAATTTTGGTACTTTTATATATTATTTATTATTTATTTATATTTTCATGCTCTTAACATTTTTGTTTGTTTCTTAATTACTCAGTTTTATTTTATTTCTTTTCCAAAAAGTTTTTCATTGTAACATTTTTCCTGTTTTCCTTCTTTTCCTTCTTTTTAATTTTTGATATTTTTTTTCTTTGCTTCCCCTTCTGCTTCATCTTATTAATTTTTTGATTTGTCATGTTTGTTTTTTATGTTTGTTTTTTACACGTTTTCTTTTCCCATTATCATTATATATATATTTTCTGTTTCTGTCTTGTTTTAAAAAAATTATAATTAATTTTCTTTACTTTTTTTATGTTTTTTCCTTTTTGACTTTCCCCCCTTTTTTATATAATGTTTTCTACTCCTTTTGTTTTGTATTTTTTTTTACGTCATTAACATGTAAAGAAAAATCTACTAACTTACATCTTTACATAATAAATCATTGTCATTAATTATTTTTATTATTTTAATTTATTAAATTATAATTACACATATCATCATCAAAAAATATAAAAATAAGAGCAAATCTGTACAATAGTTTTACTTAAACATGAAATAAATCATAAATTGTTTAAACATGAGATAAGTTAAGTTTCGTAATAACAATTTCGCACTAAATCTAAAAGAGTTAAACATAAATTTGTTATGAAGGATTTGAACATACTTCATATTATAACATCAATGAATATTAATGATTTAAAACACATATGAAATTTAAAATTTTTAATATATTGCAGCGAATGCTTGTATAGTCATGACAATAAACTACATAAAAAGAATTAAGTTTTACCTCTAGTGAAAATTAATTCACAAAAAAAGACCACAATAAAATCTACGAACTCAGAACCACAAAAGTAGACCTCAAATGTATTTGGTGTTACGGGTGTTTGAGTAATACTGGAGCAATATAAATATATGTTATTGAATTGAAAATGGGAGTGATTTTTGATTCTTTTGTGGAATGTATTTTTTTCTTCGTTTTTTTTTCTCTCGTTGTTATGTGATATTGCAGCATTTATAGGGGGTGGTAAGAGTATGTGTTGTGACTTGTGTGTGTATTTTATTTTTGTGTTGTTTTCACGTGTGAGTGGAGTGTGTAGATTACAATCTTTTATATAATATAATATAATTTTATTTATTTCTTTTAAAAAACTAATAAAATTAATTATCTAATAATAAATTATAATTAATAAATAGAAGCTTATTTGTTAAATAAAAAACAAAGAAACATATATTTTTATAGACTCTTTTCTTTAAAACAAAACTTACATTAATAATGCAACTCTTATTTTTAGTTTTCAAATATTTTTAAAAATGAACATATAAAAATTAAATAAAATATAAAAAATTCTAGTTTATACCCCAAATAAATATTTAAATATTAAAAAGTGTAAAATTTAAGTTTGATAAAAAATTACGTATCTGCACTAGTTTTTGAATGTGTGTGTTGCAAGTGTATTATAATAGTATAAATATTTCAAAAGTATTTGAATTAAAATTTTTAGATGTCATATACACATGTTAATAAAACAACAACATTTTACTTTTAAAGCGATTTTTCTGTACATTATATTTTATTTTATAAGATGTATAGTAGATAACTTTTTTTTATTGTTGATTCTCGTATTTGATTTTTCGATTGAATGCGTACACAAGTCAAAAATAATTATGATTTGGAGTTTATGGGGTTTAATTGGGTTCAACTTTCTTTTTTATTAATTAGATCAATTTTTTCTAATCTATTTGATAGTCTAATTTAACAGATTAAGCTGATATTGAATTATTCCAACCTCAATAAATAAATTATTATATAACAGTATATATTGGTTAAGAAAAATTATATTTTATTATTTTGATATATAATAATTTACTTTAAATGTTAATATAGACGCTATTTACGTTTAAGTTCTCTATTACTTGGTATACACGTGCAACACACATGGTAAAATTGAATTTAGAGTTATGAAAAATCATTTTCTCTATGAACTTAAGCAATGGATGATATTATAAAATACAATCATAATAGTAGTCAAATCTCAATATACGATAAAATATATCATTATTGAAGATTTATATATAAATATATTTGGAGAAAATAAAAAAAAATATTACTTGAAGTGTGGAGGATTTTGATTTTTCATAGTTGAATTTTAGAGAAAACAAAAATTCTGAATCTCGTTTTAACCATCCTGATGAGGAGGAACAAGTGTGAGTGAGTAATAAGGGTTTTCCATGCCTATTTATGGAGCTACCACACCACACCTTTTCTTAACCTTCAAATATTACATAAATGCCCTGCGA